TTTTTTTTAAAAGAGTACGACTCATTCGGTCATTTATAGAGTATCTCATCTCTGGAGTCGCCAGGGAAGAATTTGATTTATTCTTTGTTTTATAAATGGAGGCAATGAAACACAGTGAAGTTTAGGTGCAGTCAGGCTCCACTTTGCACCCACTGGATCTTGAAACTGGAATAAATCAGTAGAATCTGAGTAGTAGCAGGCGCTGAAAGCCTGGAACTAGATCGGAATGGAAGCTCCTAAATTAGGGTTCACAACAGATGTCCAGGATCCTGGCAGGCGCCTGTATTGTGGAAAATCGGGATGCGTGCCTGCAGGCAGTTTCTGGAATTTGAGCGTTTTGTCTGGGAGGCTCGGACAGCAAGAACCGCAAGGGAGAAGGACTGACTTAATTTTGCACGACAGGGTTTTGGCGCGAGACTGGAAGGAAAAGAATGGCGGGAGAGCTGCACCTGAGAGCGACACTGGCGGCTGCACGAAACCCAGCTATGCGCTGGGGCTCCTGGAGTTTGCAGCTTCTTATCTTTCAGGCTCTTTCCTTTCATTTCAGCTGATTTTCAATTGTTTTTTTCCCTCTAGTTCCACAGGTAGGCACGTAATCGGCGTACTTCGGTGGGATCATTTCCCCTGGAGACGTCCCACGTCGCCCCTTTAATCACTACTCTCGCGATGCCTTGTGGGAGTTGCAGTCCGGCGGAAGAGTCCAAAGAGAGCTGTAACTATTAAAAATATTCTACGAAATTTCTTCTATATAAATTACAGGTTTAAAATATAATTTTATAATTTTAAAAGTGTTCTTCAATTGTTGTTATGTGCCGTCAAGTAGATTTCGACTCTTAATGACCCTGGTTGGTGTTTTCGAATCTTTAAATCTTTGCGGTAACAAAAAGCCTCATCCTTTTCTCTTGCTCTGGGAGTTGGGCTTAAACCTCCACCTCGTGGTTCCCAGTCCATTGTTTCTTCAATTGGCATGTGAATAAAACAAATGTTTGCTCTTTTTGAATGCTAAAAAACATAAGGAACAATACAATTAACCAAAAATGCCAGATTAACTACAATGATTTCATGCAAATCTAGAAAAGGCATAAAATGGAATAAAAAGCCTCTCTTAACCAGTTCCCTCTCCTGAAAGTAAATAGTTATTTGCTAAATTTTGGTGGTGCTTAGGATCAGCTCTGGACTGCAAACCACAAGGTCGAAGTTCAAACCCATCAGCTGCTTCTTGGAAACCCTATACAGGGTCTTTAGGAACGGAATCGACAGCCCTTAACAACAACAAGAAAAGGTTGGTGGAGTAACTGGAAACAAAGGCCTGGAGATTTGCTTATGAAAGGTCACATCCATGAAAACCCTATAGAATGCAGTTATCCTCTGCAACATAGGAACATAGATCACCAGGAGCTGGAATTGCGTGGTTAGTGTCATGTACTCACCATTAGAGTATTATACGGACGTTTCATTGCCTTAAAAATGCACTGTGCTTCACCTTTTGATCCCTGACTTTTTTTTTTTTAAACAACAGTATTTTAAACACTTTTTCAGGCATTAAATAATTTTCTGCATATTTTTTCAGTGATAAATAACATAGTATACTACTGTATCAGGACTCCTGGTAGCTTAGTACGAATCGGGCTGCTAACCTCAGGGTCAGCAGTTCGAAACTACCAGCTGTTCCGCGGAAGAAAGATGAGGCTTTCTGCTCCCGTAAAGATTTACAGCCTTGGAAACCCTGTACAGGGTCGCTATGAGTCGGAACCGACTCCATGGCACACAACAACAATGTACTACTTACTATATGTGGATCCTTATTTATATGATGGATGGACCTTAATTTTTTTCTAAAAAAACTTCATTATTATAACTGTTTTGGTAAATGTACCCATTATCTATTGTTATATCTGTGCAAATTCTTGAAAAAGTTAATATGTATGGAATTGTTTAGACAAAGACCACGAAGCATTTTATGACTTTTCATATACAAATGAGCATTTTAGAAAAGTTGTACCAATTTATTTTGCTGCCAGTACTTTATACCTGTGTCTGACACTCTTTACTAACTCTGGTGGTGGTGTGTCGAGTCGATATTGACCCATAGCGACCCTGTATAGGGTTTTTCAAGGTTGTAAATCTTTATGGGAGTAGAAAGCCTCATCTTTCTTCTGTGGAGTGATAGGTAGATTTGAACTGCTGACCTTGTGTATAGCAGCCCAGCTAGTAATCCACTATGCCACCAGGGCCCCTTTTTTTAACTGTAGTATGCAAAATAATGGCTTTGGAAAAAGAACTTACAAGTGAATGAAACTTGTAATGACACTTGAGTGGCTTTTTTAAATACCAAAATTCCTTTCATAATCATCTTCCGTTTTCTTCAAAACAGCATCAAAGTTTTGTTCTGTCCACAGGATGGAGAATGAAGGGACAATACTTTTAAATTTTTTCTGGTTGGGGTTGTTCAGTCTTTGAAGAACTTCATATAGTTTTAAGCCATTTACCAATGACCCATGAAAACTTCCATATACTTTCAGAAATGTGGTGAAATTTCCATATTAAATTTCCATACAGAACTTTTAGCAAGAATGAATATATAATAAAGGATTTGTGAAAATACTGCTTCAGAAAAAAATTTTTTTTTTGCTTCAGTACTTTTTCTTGCTTCTTTTCAAGTTGTTGTTAAGCGCTGTGGTATCAGTTCCAACTCATAGCGACCCTGTATAGGGTTTCCGAGGAGCACCTGAACTGCCTACCTTGAGCTTCATAGTCCAGTGCTGATGCTACAGGGACACACCAGGAAGCTTCTTTACAAGAAGTCCTAATTAAGGTTGTATGTAAGTGGAGTCCTGGTGTGGCGCTGTGGGTTAATGCGCCAGACTGCAAAGCAGTTTGAACTGCAAGGTTGGTGGTTCCAAGCTGCTCTTTGGAAACCCTATACAGGGTCGCTCTGGGTCGGAATCGACTCGACGGCACTTCACAACAATAAGTGGGTTAAGGAGCCCTGGTGGCAATGTAGGATCAGCATTGGACTGTTAGCTCCCAGGTCTGCAGTTCAAACTCACCAGCATCCCCACAGGACTCCCATAAAGTTTTCCATTTTCATCTCTATGGCAGTGAGTTTGGGTTTTTGACTGTAGGTGGGCTAGATGAAAAAGTATTTTTTTCTTAGGGTGAGAATTTATGGGGGCATTGAAAGTGTTGTTATGGGTGCTATGTGGAGTTGATTCTGACTCCTAGTGACCCCATGTGACTGAGTTTGGTGTCATAGGGCTTTCTAGGCTGTCATTTTTATGGGGTGATCATCTCCAGAAACTGGACACTTCTGATATCAAATCCAAAGAACATGAAATGAAGCGTTGCCATCCTTGCTTCTAGAAGGACATCATGCTTGGCAAAGTTGTTGTTGTCAAGTGCCATTGAATCGATTCCGACCCATAGCCGCCCTGTATAGGGTTTCCAAGGAATAACTGGTGAGCTTGAACCGCTGACCCTGCAGTTGAAACGGCTTTAACCTACAGCGCCACACCAGGACTCGGCTTGGCCAAGTAGGATGAGTGAAAAAGAGGAAGATCCTTAATGAGTTGGGTTGACAGAGTATCTACAACAATTGTGAGGACTGTGAGGACGGCACAGAATCCAGTGGTGTTTCCAACACTGACCCTCACAGGGTCGCTATGAGTTGGTTTGATCTAACAATAGTGATCTCTGCTGGAGCATGGCACCAAGTCTTTTCTTTTACCCACTGATTGGCTGGTGGGTTTGAACCTCTGACCTTAAGGTTGTTGTTGTTAAGTGCCGTCGAGTCGGTTCCAACCCATAGCGACCGTGTATAGGGTTTCTCATCTTTCTCCCGCGGAGCGGCTGGTCGTTTCGAACCGCTGACCTTAAGGTTCGCAGCCTGATTCGTAACCACTACGCTACCAGAGCTCCTTAAGGTTAGCAGTCATCCAATTAACCTCACAAACCAAAACTAAACTCCCTGGTGCCCAGCAGAACTACCCCATGGAATTTCTAAGACTGCAAATCTTTACAGAATCAGTCTGCCACATCTTCCTCCCACAGAGCTGTTGAGTGGTGAGTTCCAACCATGTACATTTCAGTTAGCAGTTTAGTGCTGTCACCACTCTCACCAGAACTCCTTAGCCTCTGTGGTTTTTAATTAAAAGTGTCAAAAGCGGTACAAGTATTGTATTTCTGACTACTTTTACTTTTACTAAATCAGAGAACAGAGATGCATTTCCTATGACCACAGTGAACTGATCCGCCCTAGTCCCTATCAACACCCTGAAGAGACAGCAGAAATGGCATCCTTATCAGACAAGGGTGTTCAAACAGTGTTGATTCTCATTGTTCTATTTTATTTCTTTCCTAGCACAAGTTGCTAATTCAACTGATCCAGTTGTTTGTGTGTTTTTTGTGTATCTTCTGCCATAGGAATAGAAGCTCCTTAAGAACCTGAACTTTATCCCCTACACCAGTACTTGTTTGTTGAATGAATTAACTATGAAATCATGGAATAAATTGTGATCCCAGTTTCTTTCCTTTCACTCTTAATGGATTTTAAAAAAATCATGAAATATTTTTCACACTCCTGAAAGCATTCACTACTCATAGTTAACAAATCTTAACATTTTACCACAATTGCTTCCCTCTTCTTAAGAAAAAGGAAAGAAAGCCAATTTGAAGAGCTTATAAAAATGGGGAATTATTCTTTATTAACCCATAAGAGAAGTGGTTAATTTGTACTTATGTAAACTCAAACTACAGATCCCAGGCTGCGCTGCAAGTTAGGCACGTGGTCTAGTCTTGTCTGTAAGTAGCCAATGAAAGGTAACGTTTACAAAGGTCTAGGATGACGTCTGGGTGTATTGACTGTGACCAGCCTTAAATCTACTTATTGCCGTTTGGGACGTTTTACTGAATGTGCAATTAGATTTGGAGAGGCTTTTTCTGTTAATTTGGAACGTGTGTCTCCTGTTTTAGAGAGCAGAAAAACCGAGTTAATAGTCTAAATGGACGCAATACTGAATTACAGTTTGGAAGATACTGAAGATTACTACACGTTACTGGGATGCGATGAACTGTCTTCGGTAAGACAGTGGTTAATGCTATTCTTTTTCTCAACAGTATTTCAAGTTATTGTGTAAGGTTTAAACTTAAAAATTTTCATTCTATTACCTAGAAACCTAATCTTGTATTATGCTAAAGCATTTTCAGTCAAGGGTTTTAGATGTGTGGTGAGTTAGGCATGTGGTCTATTCTAATTAATGCTCTATACTCCTATCGAAATTTTATGAAAGTTTCTGATTGAATATGTGTATTCTGACACACAGCCATACACATTATAGTGAAAATACACTTTAGAACTTTTATTGTAATTGTTGGCTGTGTTTCTTAGTATTGTTGTTCTTAAGTGCTGTGGAGTTGGTTTCTCCCCTCAGCGACCCTGTATAGGGTTTCCAAGGAGTGGCTGGTGAACTTGAACCGACAACCTTGCGGTTCAAATCGACTTTGCAGTCCAGTGCATTAATCCGCAGAGCCACACCAGGACCCTGTTTCTTCGTATGCATTCTCTATATTTTTATCTGGTAATTCATACTATAATTAGGATGAAATATTTTCTACTAACGAGTGATGTTTAAAATGTTTTATTAAAATATGTACTTTTATGTGAGCAGTGTAATCATGAACCAAGAAATATCTCAAATTGTGTGACTTCTGAAAGAAAACTTGTTTGAAAACCTGTAGTTGTTTACTTGGTCTATAATGGATTGTTTTTTTCAAAGTTTCCCTCAAACAATTATAAAGGTTGTTGGAAAATTTTGAAGAGTGATTTTTATCATCCAAAAGTAACATTATTAATATTTTGACATATTATTCGCCAGTTTTCTGCCTATATATACATATATGCACTTTGCTTCGCACCTTTTACCCATTAACATTTTTTTGTTTGCTATAAGACATTCTCCATACATTTTAATGATTCCATAATATTTCATTTTGCTGTTGTACCACAACTGAATTATTTGTATTGCTAAGCATTTAACTTATTTACAATTTTCTGATGTTTTAAATACTGCTGAAGTGAATATGAAATATGACTAATATTTGGTTATTAAATATGAGGTCTTATTATTAAACCACAGTTATTAACATTAATGTTTAAAAGGAAAATACTTTTATAATTAGTCTCATTTCAAAAAGGTAGGGATTTAGTAATAAAATTTACTTAGTTTCTTTTGAAAATAGGAATTGAGCATGAAGAATTAAAATTTCTATCTTCAGTCTTCATTATGCTGAGGAAGATATCTTAGAAACCTTGAAGTTAAAAAAAAAAAATCCCCAAAATGAGAACAGGTTATAATTCTCTTTTAGTTGCCCATTTTATCTTTAGAATAAGCTATTGCTATCATTTACTTTGATGATGATTAGTGTATAGCAATTAAGAAATGTTATTGCTATTTTTACCATATCTATTATTCTCCCTTTGGATTACATTATTGCCAAATGAGTTTTAACAAAACTGTTTAAAATCAAAAGAAAATAATTTGATTTGTTAAGTCTCACCATTTGGATTAAATAAAAATGTCACGATGTAGTGTCGTGTTCAGGTCATACTCTTGTTATAATACAATTCTTGACCCCTCCAGTCAGTCTCTTGTAGCTAGGTTATTGTCTTTTCAGTCTACATAGAAGGAGAATTGGCTATGGATAGATTTTGATCGCATTGTTTATTTACAATGTATATAATGAAATCATTTCATGGTTATTAGTCATCGTTGTATTTCTCTGATTATACTGTAGTAGAAGGAAAACAAAAGCAGAGTTTCAGCATTTCTTTTTTCTGGACCTGTTACAGATTCTGTTAATGGCAGAGTATGTCTAGATTACAATCATTTTTATTAAAAATGAAACAACCTCTGAGAATTTTGTCACTTCTTTTTATAGGCATGCATCATTTTCTCTGTATCCTTCTCGTTTAAAATGCTATCCAGAGTGACATTTTCTTTTCTTGATTTGTGTTTGAAGACATGTGTTGGAGGAGGTTGTATTTTACTCTACTTCAAATTTTCCTTGATTCAGTGTACTAAAATTGACCAGAACCCATCATACTTAAAAGTGACTTAACAGTTATTATTAGAAGGCAACTTGATATTTTAGTGCTACTTACTATAGAATTGAAATGGCCAATACCAGTCCACTCTTATAGCTCTGGTAGCGTAGTGGTTACGAATTGGGCTGCAAACCTTAAGGTCAGTGGTTTGAAACTACCAGCCGCTCCG